AGCAGTACTCTACTTTTGTAGGCTGTAGGATTTAACTAAACGCGTCAACTTCAATTTAAACGCTTACAAATCTATTCCTTATTCAACAGATAGAAATCACATTGTAATAAAACTTTTTAGCGCTAGGAAAAATTGCTTATTTCAAGACAGGGTTTTTTTGGTTGTTGTTTTGTGTGTGTGTGTATGTGTGTGTCTGTGTGTTGGGGGGGGGGTAGGGGGTCGACCTAATTTAATAGGAAAACGCAATGGACTTTAAAAAAACCCAAAAGACCCCACCACCCCCCTACCCATACCCTTCTCCCCATTCCGGGTCACAGCTACGAGTTTGAAGGTGCCGTTGTTAAAAAGTGTCAGAAATTTCCCGACTGACGTAAAACTTGGCTTCGAAGCAATGCACGGGGTGTTCTGACTATATAATGCCGCGACGAAATACCATTACACGAGCATTCTTGGCAAAGTACTCTTGGTGTTTTACTCGCCCAGACACACCCAATCCGGTTAACAGATTTTTTAAAACATTAATTTTTTTTTGCTGAAGGCTTTCTGTTTTAAAGTTTAAAAAAAACCCAACAAAAACATGGCTTTGGGTTTTGAGTTCATCCCATTAGGGACTTTGCGGGGAGCAACAATACACACTAATCTATCAAAACATTATCGCTTTTAGTGACGTGGGATGCATATTTCGACAACAAAATAATAAATGGCACACGTTCGAAAATAAACACCAGTCTGAGCAGGAAGGTCCGGAGGACTCCCCTCCCCCAGCATAAGGGTGGGCACGCACGCACGCACGCACGCACGCACGCACGCACGCACACACACACACACACACACACACACACACACACGGCGCGCATCTGCACTATGAAATATTATGTATCTGTGGAATAGACTCTGGCATCACCGTTCTCATCTTCTATTGCTTCTTTTTCACTGTGAGCACAAGGCCAATCTTGTCTTACCATCATCGCCCGCACGCAAACCCTTCCGCCTCTAGTTTTTGGGTTGTTGTTTTTTCAGTAATAAGAAGCACATACGCACGATAACGACCATTTAGTTCTGAGAAAAAAAGCAAGACAACCAGACAGAAACAATTTAGGGTTTTGCTTGTTTGTTGGTGTAAAGAGAAACACATCGACTCGATAACGGTCATCTAGAGCAGCGGAAAAGAAAGACAGACAGACAGACAGACAGACAGACTGAAACAACAGAGCGATAGAAAAGAAGTTGGACCTAGCAATGGCGCCCTCTAACCACCCGCCAACTGAGGGAAAGAATTTAAGAAGGACTTACCACCACCAGCAACCCAACCCTTCGCTAGGCTCAAAATCTTATCTCAAACAAAGTATTCGACAGCATTCACTTTCAGGACACGTCATAAGCACCACAAGGCGCACGACACCGTCACAAATTATGCCAAAACTCAACAAAGCAAACGCAATCTAGAACCGACTTTGTTCTGAGCAACCCATACCCAGAGGGAAGATTCAAGACACAAGTTGACAAAGTGACTTCCACTGGCATACATACGGATCTGACGCTGTGGTCAGAGTAAAAACTAAAACAGCGATCAGCATGACGACTATAAAATTGAAATTCAGGTACCACCGACCAGCAGAGGACAATTCTAAAAGACCAACTACTGGAAGGGTAACACACTGAGATAAAAAGCATGATACATCATGCGTGCAGGGGGATCACCACAAAACATAGCCTA